AGCAGAACCAGGAGTGGATCAGAACCACACTGAGTTTTACTCAACAGCAGATTTTAATTCACACAAATCTGCTTTTATATCTAAATAATGTAATTATTGCTCCATGTGTAATGTAACATTATTTGTTTTAATGTTCAGATGTTTTAACCCATTTTGAAGTTTTGTATCTGCTGCAGATAAGAAAAATAAAATGTTATTAATGTGTTTATTTTTTGGGTAAATGACGTCTAATGGTCTGACTTTAGCTCCATCCAGCCAAAACAATGACGTCTTAAACCTTTTCAAACTGAACCAGAACGCAGTGAAATCTATGTGGATGTAGAAATCACAAGAAGTGATGAAGATGAAGAGGACCAAACGGAGGAAGAGGAAGGAGCTGGCTGGAGGAGCTGCTGTTTGCTGCTGCTGCTGCAAACAGAAGATTCATAATATGTTTTTCTGCTCTGGCCTAAAAAATGCTTTGGGCGATTCCACAAAATGTTCTTTTTGTTTAGGAAATTCGTTGGAACGGTTGATGAATGTTTTATGAACACATGAGTTCATGCAGGCGGGAACAAGAGGAGCTTCAGGGGAAAACCAAATGATTCAACATGTTTCAACCTGCAGCCTGAGAGAAACTTCTGGAAAACTGAAAACGTCAGGAAGTCGTTCTGCAGGAATAAAAGCAAAACCGAAATACTTTAAGGTTTAATTATTATGTCAGTTAAGACTTTGTAACACTTTATTTGAAGACTGATATGACACTGTCATAAACATAAAGTCCTTATGAATGTTTGTGACTGTTATCATGAAATGTGATTCGGTAAAAAAAAAGACACTTTTAATGCAAAGTTGCTCTAAATGTTAGTTGTATTGAAAGTCCATTAAAAATGCCAACTTTGCATTAAATTATCCAAATTTACAAAATCATGGAAAGTTGTCAGAGAGAGAAAGTTTCAAGGAGGAAGAGGAATTAATTCTAACATTAAGAAACATAATAAAGAAGAGAGACAAAGACATGAGGAGAAATCGAACTGAACAGAAACAAAACTGATTTAATAAGGACTAAGAAACAAACCCAACCAGAATCACCAAGGAAGAAGAAAAACTAGAGGTAAATAAAAACAACTGAGGAACAAAAAATGGTAAAAATAAATTTAAAAATAATCTCAAACAAGATCCCAGCAGATTACAACATTATTGCAAAAAGTGATGCTTTTAGTAGCCATTAGTTTTAACTCCTTTATTCCCATTGCTGCTAAAATATCTGGAAATGAAACAGCAGCACTATGTGCTCAATATGAAGTAATGCATTCAAATTAACTGTATGTAAATGTGAACACACACTTAAATGTGGAGCGTTGACTGTGACCTTTGACACATGAACCCCTGGCCAATGTTGAGAAAATAAATGTAAAATATGCTAGTTGTAAATCCTAACCATATGTTCAATATTAAATAAAATTAATAGTGTTTTAAATTAGAAAGTTCACTTCAAATTATATCCATGGTTTAATCAGCGTAATCTCTTATGTAGGATATTTCTACTGAAACATATTGAATTAAATAACTTAGCTTGTAGTTCTCTATAAATTAAAACACAGCTAGTCTCTCTGTGGACTGAGCAGCCAGTCACAGGGTATGGCTCTGTGTGAGTTTAACCTTCTGACCACTTTGATCAGGTTTGGTGTAAAACAATCTGGTCCTAACAGAGCAGAGCTTCCTCTGGGCCATAACAACATCTGTCTCCATTCAGAAGAAAATAACACTTCTTTGATCTTAGAAACAGGTTTTTACTGGAACATGAACTAGATTTAAATGAACTTAGCTAAAGACGGTCCCCTGATTAGAACAGAGGAGGGAAACACGCCCTCCTCTAAAACTATAGGACCAGGAACCTTAACCTCAGATCGCTCCAGGTTTACCCGTGATGCTGTCTCTGGGGAACGGTGCGTCGGTGAAATGGTTCCCCGTTTGTTTGTCTTGGTGTGTGGATGTCTGTGGAGTGAGGTAAATATCGAACTGGATGCTGGTTTGTGATTTTATTGAGTTCTCTCAGTTTCATTAGTTGTTTGTCTAATAAATGTTGGACTTGGGAAAA